GTGCCAATTTGTAGCACAAATGTAGTTTAGAAATCTTTAATTTTAAAACTTATGATTCTATATGTAAAAAGTTTCTACTTGAACATTATACAAATAAAAAAAAAAATAAAATAAAAAATAAAAAATAAAATAAAATATAATAATTTTTATTATATATTAAATTTTCTTAAACAAAATACTAAAATATTAACCTTTTTTCTTTTATAAAAAAATTTATAAAAATGATTAACATTAATTATTATTATCTCAAATAAAAAAAAATTATTATAAATAAAATATTTTATAATTGTAAATTAAAAAATATATAAATAAAATTTATCTCATTAGAAACACAATAAAAAAATCAAAAGTTTATATTTAAAGTGTTTGCATTTATAAAAAATAAAGTCTATAAAACTTCTATAAATTGAAAAAAAAGTTTTATATGGTACTCTTACTTAAGAGATGTGCATTTAAAAAATATAATTATGTAAAAATATGAAGAAAATTTATTAGTTTACATGTAGTGTTTATACATGGGTATAATTATTGAATTACAAGATGGCATAAAACCAATTTTTTCAAATTAAAAAATCAAATCTTTGCTTATGGTTAGAGTAAGGGTGGATTTGACATTGGGCGAGGTATAGCTTATACCAAAATTGCGCAAGAAATTTTTTTGTTAAAAGCCAAAAGGTGGTTGCATAATCGAGATATTGGTTAGTTGTTATATTGCCCGTGTACATACTCCGTACAAATAAAAATTCTCAAATATAAAAAGTAATGTAAAAACTAAATGAAGAAAATATAAGAAAAAATAAAATCAAATCTGTTAAAAAATCACGTCGAATCACGTAATTGCGTAAATTATTTTCGCAAATATACAAAGTACGTGGCACGCACATAATTGGCTGAGATTTACATTTGTGATCAACCAATCGAAATTAATTCTCGCTGTACTATAACAGGTTCTATAAGCACATGATACACTTTGCAACACAAAATGTTCTTCGTTAATCATATTTCTGAAATTAATGATTCCTCAAAAAAAGACCTTGTTTTAGCGAAGCACACTATTATTTTGTTCATTTCCTTTAGATACAACCTAAGTAAATATTTTCCTTCTCATGAATGGAACAAACACAATCTTCGCTTGATTTTCCAAGATTTTGATGGTTTAGATGATTACACGCCAATAGTCAAGGCTATAAGTGATATAGTTCTTGAGTGTTGGGCAAATAACCGGGATATATTCATCTTTGTTACTGCTGAACCGATTTATCCTGTCAATGTTATTGCCACTTTGATTAAACGATTACGTATTTTGTTTGATCGTCAAACTTTGAAAATTATTGCGTTCTGGGTTGGTGTGTATCATATCTCGCGTGCAATGATTGCAAACCAATGTGATATATCTGGTGCCTCGCATTGTATTCAGGTGGATGAAGAGCATGAAGTTGTGGATGAAGTTATGTCATATATTGAGAAGGTATAATTGATTATTAACGACATATATTTAATTGTTAATGACATAACCACCACTATATTTATGCAAATAGGTTAACATGGAAAAGGATGAGTGCCCCGCTTCTCTATTGAATGCTTATCGCGAATTTAATAATTCTTACCCTGCCGCAACAAAAATTGATGGCCAAATTTGGTGTAGCATTCTACATTATGGTATATACGTTTTACAATCTTATTATTATTATATCGTACCAAATTAATCAAATTAATAGAATAAAATCCATAGTTGAAGCTCACACCAAAGAAAATAGGAGTGAGATTATCTGTGATCTGTGCCCAACAAATAAAAAAGAATGGAATCCAACACACTCAATCAACAATACAAATCAAGAGCATTATATACAAGAAATAATGTGCAATGCTTTGTATAACAAATTTTCCCAGCATCCAAGAATCAAACATAAACTCCTTTCAACAGTGAATTTACCTCTAGATTTTTTGAATGTAACCAATGATACTAATGAAGACAAGGTGAAATCAGCTTTGACAGGTAATATGTTTATTAAAATTCTGGCGGAAACTAGGTCCACATTAATGCAAGAATGCAAAAAGAATAATAATAATGAAGAAAAGATATGAAATATTTTGTCATTCATTATCAATTTTTTTTCTTTTTTTTTTGCGCTAATTATGCTTTAAAATATTGTAAAAATATTTGTAAAAAAAAAAAGGATCCCAATATTCTTTTGATACAAGAGATTTAAATCAGCAATTTTGTATATAAATGAAGTTTAGATAAAAACGTTGAGATCACTTTTTAGATTTATTTATTATGCTATCTGGACTGCTCATTATTTAATGTTTAAACATTAAACTAAAATTAACTAGCAGTAATAACTACTGCAAGTGACTCTCGATATAAGAAACCTTCGATGTAAGAAACTCTTTATATAAGAAAGATTTTGTAAGTCCCAATTGAGAATTTTGTAATAAAAACCTTTGATATAAGTAAACCTCGATATAAGGACGATGTTGAATTAACTTTTGTATCTTTTTTCCGATTTTTTTTTGGTTTATTGTTAATACTTGTTGCTAGTATACGTAATCAGTATAGCATTTTGTTTGTTAATATTTCTTAATATCATTCTAAGTATCATTATGCTGTAGCCAAATAAATATCATATTTGAATAATTATATTTTAAATCAAAAATATCTAATTTATTTAAATCAAAATATTAGTCATATTGCAATATAAAAGAAAATTTAAACCAGCTAAGCAGAATTTGAAAATAAGCTAAATCTATCACCTTATATGCCTTACCCTAAAACCCCATAATTGTACAGAATTCATAGTTAAAGTGACAACCAATTTTAAGTTTATTACGTTTTAGTAGTTTTAGTTCTTTCGTTTCGAATAATCAAATTTACTATAGTGTGATGGTCGAACCACTGATACTCTCTCTATACCACTTGTTCAATATATTACCAATTGAATACATACAGTTAGAGATACGATCCGGATATCCGCCAGTTAATTTTATAACAAATTTATTATGAAGAATCCGGATATCCGTTAAATTTTAAATATGAAAACGGATAACGGATCGCATCTCTTCATACAGTATGATATGCTATATTAAGCTTTATTTTATCTTCTCTTCTACACTGGCGATCATAAGTAGTGCAACAAAAAAAATTTTACTTAGATCATATTACCTCACGCAATTCCGGGCGTATCAGCTATTTTTTATTTTTTTTTTTTATTCACTAATAACAACATTTTCATCAATAAAAAAATTAAAAAAATTCAATGAAAAAAATTTTTCATGAGCATGAGTTTTATTTCAAATGTTGTGTTGCATTACTTTTGCTCGTTTTTACAGCAACACAACTGTAAAACAAAAAAAATTTTTTATATATAAAAAAAAGTTTTTTTATTCTATCTAAAAATTCTCCACCTTCACCATCAGGTGTAACCATCTCAAGCCCTAATTATAGCATGAATTCATTCTGGCATTGAATGAATTAGTCTTTTGCAGGTTTCAATATCAATCCTTTGTCAGACTTCTTGGATTTTTTTCCAAAAATCTGTCTTACTTGAAATTTGTCTAAGAAGATCCTTCAACTAATGGTTGATTTTATTTCACAGGTTTTCGATTGGATTAAGATTAGGAGATTAAAGAGATTAATCAAAGAATTTAATCTTATTCTTCTTAAGTCAATATTCTGTCAAAATCATCATATAACAAGATGTTTCATCTTATTGAAAAATAATTTCCTTAACATCAAATTCTTGTTTTCTAATCATTTACATTAGATCTTCATTAAGTATCTATAAATACAAGTCATTATCTATTGTATCATCAATCTTGCAATAGTTACCAACATCATAGGTATTAAAGTATTTACAAATCATGATAGAATTATTTTCATATTTTATAATAAGTTTTATATAGAATTTGTTTAATAGTTTTCCATAATATTTTTAATAATATTGCTTACCATCTGATCCAAAAATCTGAAATCTAGAATTGTTAGACCAGATTACTTTAGACCAATCATCAATAGTCTAATTTTTGTATTTTTTTATAAAAACAAGTCATTTTTTTTGATAACTGTTATTCAGATAAGGTTTTTTTTTATTTTTAATATTAAATCATAATTTTAAAATATAAGCATATAATAGACATCAAAATTGTTATATTTTTGTTTTTTATAAAGTAAGTCTTTACTTTAATAGTGATGAAATACTGATTGAAGGTAATAGGGTTCACTATTCTTCTTTGAATTAGTTTATCCAATAAAGTTGAATAACCAACTTTTATTAAATTTTTAAGTAAATAATTTGTTAACTATCTTTTTTTAATTCATAAGACTGTAGAAAAAAAATATTATAGACCTAATCTACTGCTCTTGTTATATATCCTTTCTGAAATGAGAGTAATAGTTGAACTTGTTTAGTGGGAGTTATTCAGCTCTTTTTTTTTAATTATCAATAAATTCTAGTATTGCATAAAATATAAAATTAATAATAAGATTTATATTTTTAAATGTATTTATATTATACAAATTATGTGATCTGGTCTTTTTTAAAAACAAACAAAAGTAATGTAAACATATTTTGTAATATATACATAATTATTTTTGCATTAGTATTAATAATGACTAATAAAATTTTAAAATTAGAAAAAGCATTATTTGTGAATAAAATAAAAAAAAATAAACTGATGCACCTGAAATTATATAAAATAATATGATCTAAGTAAAATTTTATTTATATTGTATTACTTATGATCACTAGTATATTTCTGTTTAATATTTTTCTTTCAATTTAAAATTTTATATTTTTACTATAAAAACTTAAAATAACAACTATGTGCATTATTTTGAAATTTAGCTAAAATTATGCTTAACTTAGTCTGAAATTTATAATTTTATCTCTATATGTTATTTCAAATTTTTATAGTATATCTTTTTATTTCTGCTTTTTTTAAAAATGTTTTTTTATTAAAATTTTCTAGAAAGATTACCTTTTTATAATATTCTATTAATCTGAGGTTTTTAAAAAAAATTCTGTCACAAAGTTAGTTTTTTTAAATTAACTATAACTGGTAGTAACAATAAATAAATTTTACTTATTGCTTAAATTGTTAAATTTTTGAAAAATTTTTTAAAAATAGTTTGATATTTATAAATTTTTCTAGCAAAGCTTGTATTTTCTTTTTTTTTTTTATAAAAAGTTTCTATTTTTTTTTGTATTTTAATATTAAAATAATTTAGACTTCTTTTAGTATTATTAAACTTGAAATTATTAATTTTTTTTCAAAGATTTTTTTAAAAAATCTTTAGTATTTGTATATATAGCTTTTTTTTATTTAGAGACTTAGTTAGATAAAGATTAATTTTTTGTTTGTCTTATTTAAATTGTTTAAGTTTCTCTTTTATAAGAGTTTTAAACATATTTATTTTTTTTTCTTTAATAAAATTTTCTTTTTTAATTATTCTTTTTTTAATTTCTTGCCAATATATTTTTGTATTTTGTATTTTGTATTTTTTATTTATTTTATAATTAAGTTTGTTATAAATATTTCTGTTTACTATACAAGTTTTATATAATAATAATATATATATTTTTTATATCTTCTTAAAATCAATTTTGTACTAAAAAAAATACATATTCTTTTTATTATTATTACTGTTTAAGGGTATATACATTGTTTTAACTTTGATTAATCTTAATTATATAAACTTTAATAAATCTTGTATTATAGTTGTGATATTTATAGAAAACCTTATTAAAGCACTTTAAATACTATATTTAATTAGTAAATTAATATATAAATATTAATTTTTTTAATAAATTAGTTGTATCTGACATTTATAAAAAATTATTAAAGTTGTATAAGCTTTTAGATAATAATAATGTATATAATAAAAGAACTTCTGTTAGTACACAAAGTATATGTATATAGCAATATAAAAACTAACCAATATCTCAAAATTTTGATTATGAAACCAATCTTTGAGTTTTTTAACAAAAAAATTTTTTGTACAATTTTGGTATAAACTATATCTTGCCTAATCCTAAATCTATTCTTATCCTAATCATAAGCAAGAACTTAATTTTTTATTTATAAAATTGTTTTGATATTATGTTATATAAAGTTGTAATTCAATAAATTATAGCTGTATATAAACATTACATATAAACTAATAAATTTTTATATAATAAATATAAATTAAAAATTTTAAAGAGATTTCAATTTGTAAATACAATTATTTAAAATTTTTAATTAAATTATTAATTTTTTTAAAAAATAAACCTATAAGCAAACTGTTTAACTTTAAAAATCTCTTTAAGTCAATTAATTTATTATTTATTATAATTATAAAATTAGTCAAAATTAATAATAAATAATTTATTCTTATAAATATTAGAATTATTAGAATTTTAACATTGTTAAGATTTTTTTTATAATATTAAGATAAGTACAGTATGTTGCAAAAATAACCAGAAAATTTTTATAAAATTTAGATTTGCATGATCTAAATTTTTTAGTTTGGATTTTTAATTACTAATTCTTATATAAAATTTGAAGACAAAAGATATATAATGAATTTTAAATAATTTTTATTTAAT